CAGTGGTTGCAAAACTCTACCAGATGGGTAGAACATTCACTCTCTTGTTAATGGTCTTCATCCAGATGATTATATTAGTCGTATCGTGATGACCCTTGACCCGCCACTTCATGATGCTGACTAGTCTTGTCCTAATCCTAGACATTTCGTGGCATGGTCCTCGGTTCATTTGGTCATGGTCCTTGATTTGTAGTCCAAATGATTGTTCCTACCCACTGCTAAACCCCCCCCCCCCCCACACTCACACACACAGGTATATCTCACCTGAGTATCGTTCCAGATGACATGAAGCTTGTAGTTCCTGAGGACTGTAGGGTGCTCATTAACGTGCTTAACCGCCAGGTTGAGAGCCGGCATCACTCCTCTCCCTAGGGAGTGCTTGGGACCGTCTCCCACCTGCAGGAGAACCCAAGAGACATTGTTAGCATCAGAGAATACACGTAGTGGAAGATGGGGCATAATACTGGCATGGTGGGAGGGGTGAACTGTGGTTGGATGGAATAGAGACGTTACGATAATGGGTTGATAGAATGGTTAGACGAGTCTAATGGGAAATGAGGTGAATGGTAGATAGGAATTAGAGTTGAATGGGGGAATGGAGGATTTGTGGGAAAGATGTGAAAGTTGAATGTATGGCTGATGAGAAATATTTCCCGAGTTGAGTGCTGATTCGGCAATTAATTTCAAAGAGATGTGAGTAACATTTAAACACGTAATGGGACAGGGTAAAAGATAATCGGAGGAGAGACGTTTGCTAAAGCATGGGAAAGGAAGAAGACGAATAAGAATTAAGAGCTTGATAAGAACAGGAAGTAATGACAAAAGCAATGAGAAGGGATTGATAAGAAAGCATAATGATGCCGGAGGGAGAGAGAGAAAGTAAAGGAAGGAGAAAAACAGATGGTAAGTTAAATAGAAGTAATCAGTGGCATTAGTCGAGATGGAGAGAGAATTGCACATGGAGAAAAAGAAGGAAAGAGAGTGTTAAAATGTGGAGAGAGAGAGAGAGAGAGAGAGAGAGAGAGAGAGAGAGAGAGAGAGAGAGAGAGAGATATAGAGAGATATAGAGAGATATAGAGAGATATAGAGAGATATAGAGAGATATAGAGAGATATAGAGAGATATAGAGAGATATAGAGAGATATAGAGAGATATAGAGAGATATAGAGAGATATAATGACACACAAAATAGATTCACAGGCAATTGAAGAGACAACGAAATAGAAAATTAAATGGAAATGTATACACAGAACAATCAATAACAGACCAGCACAGCGATTATCTTCATATAAAGTAATAATAATGATAGTAAGTGTGGTTGATTTTAGATTACTGTCACAGCTACGTTATTGTCGAGCTAGGAGACAATAATGATTTTTAAGAGTGATCCCGAAATACTGAAATCAATGCGACATTAAAAATATGCGTCATGTATAATAATTTGAGAGAGATAAGTCTGTGTCTCCCCCTCCCAAATCCCCCCTCTCTCTCTTCCCCTAACTATTCCTAACTTCTCCCTCTCCCCTTACTATCCCTAACCTCTCCTTCTCCCTTCCTCTCCCTCCCCCCACTATCCCTAACCTGTCCCTCCCATCCTCCCTCCCCTCCCGCCTTCTACCCCCCTCTAAACACTCACAATTACATTACCAGACACTCCCCCAGATAACCTCTTCATCACATTACAGCATCGCCTCCAACACACACACCGTTGCCGTGTCGAAATTAACAGCGTCAGAGGCATATTAGGCTATTAAAAAGGGCCTCAGTTCAGCATCTCCAGACAAGATGAGGGTCGTTAAGTGCTGTTAGGTTAAGCAGGCAGGAAATTACAGCAAAAGGGGTCAGAATGTACATTTTTCAATGTCTGGAAAACCAATGTTTTCTGGGGGGAGCCCCGTCGGCTCCCCGGAGCTTTACCAGGCTAATATGCTAATGTCAGACTTTGGCATCAGTCATGTGTATGGAGTTCTAGAGCCTACCGGGGACCACGGCCAGAACCTGGGCCCCTCAGAGAGGCAAGGGGGAGCAATGGCCTTTAGAAACCCCCGTGTGGTTGGAAGCATTCTATGTCTGCCATCGACCGGGTCAAGCATCCAGAAAGGTAAGCATTACAAAACAAACCCCTATTCTGGTTAAAATTGCTACCTAAAGCCGAACTAGTGGATAGAACTCCCCAACAGAAAACAAGCAAACTAGTATGACGTCCCACGTCACTGCGCAGCTCCCCCCTCCCCGGGAGGGGGAAGGGGAAGCCCCAGACCTCCCACGCCTGCTATCCACCCATCAGTTCTTCGGCTGATGCTATAAGCACCGGTTATGTGCTCCGGCTCCAGTAGTTGTTTCAGCACTGTACCTAGAGTGTGGTGTCTGTCTTCTAGGTGGTGCGTGAGCCGGGAGTGAGTCTCCAGTACTCGGGCTGCATGCGCCTAGGGTTCCCTTCCCTAGGTGCCCTGTAAGTACTGCCCTTGAGGCTACCTTCCACAAGTTCCTTGTCCTGCCCGTGCTTGGCCATTTACTGCTTGGTTTTCAGCCGCTCTTTGTGTGCTCGGGTGTTCCGTCTCCCTTGTTCGTCTTAGGGTAAGGGGCAGTTTTGCACTGGTGGGGCGCAGGGTACTGTGCAGCTTGTCTTTACCAATCATGGCGGCCGGCTCTGTTCCGCTTGGGTACGCTGTCTTCTTGCGGGGTTTTCTTTTTGTTTATCTACTTGGTGGGGGGTCTGCCTTCGTTCTTGCTCCTTGTGCGTTTCCTTGTTTCCTCCTCTGCCGCAGGGGTGTTCTGCGTGCGTTCCTTGGCTTCTTGGGCGTTCTTTCAGCCTGTGTCCTGTGGTGTGTTTCTTTGTCTCGGTCTGTTGCAGTTCCTCGTACCCCTTGGTTCGGGTGCTGTTTCTGGCGGCAACCCTTCCGCCTTCTTCGGTTTCCTAGCTTTCCCTGCCGGTTGGCTATTTGTTTTTTTTATGATGTCTCGCGTCGGACCCGTTGTTTCTGAACTCCTGGCGGGCTTGCTTGCTTTGGGGAGTTTTTCTGTTCGGCAGACGTTCCATCTCCTTGTGCCACCTGGGTTTTCGGTGGTCGCGCCCGAGATCTTCCCGCGGCTCCGCCTTTTCCTGGGCTCGGAGGGGCCTTGTCGGGCTGCTTACGTTCTGCCTCGCGGTCTCGCCTCCGGTTGGTGGTCGGGTGGCTTCGTGGTAGGTGTCCCACCTGCGTACTTCTCTTGGCGGCAGTATGGGGTATTTTGGCGGTCCTTCCTTTTCCTGTCCTTTCTTAGGTGGCTGCACTTGTTAGCGTCGGCTTGGTTTTCTGGTGGGGGGTTGGGGGCCGTCGTCTTGCCACATACTGTCGCCTCTTTTCGTGCGGCGCTGGTGGAGCCGCTTCGGTTTGCTTTCGGTCTTGGTGTTGCTTCTGCACCGTTAGTCAGCTGTCTTGTGCGTCGTTTCACCTCCGGCCTGTTCGTGCGCCGCTTGCACCGTCTTGGTCTCTGGTCAGCGTGCTCTGTCTTCTCCTCGGTTGGTAGGGCCCCTTTGGTTCCGGTTTGTTTTTTCGTCGGCTCTTTTTTCCTTTTGGCATTTGCCTCTGGGGGTCGGGTCGCTGAGTTTTCTTGCTCCTTCGGTTTTAGCGTTTTGGTTGTTCGGTGGCAGCAGTCTCCATCTTTTCTGGCGCGGGGAGGGGCTGCTGCGTGTTGGAGGGGTCCTTGGCTTGGTTGGTCGGGCCTGGGGTGTGTCGTGTTTTGTGTTCAGTGGCGGCCCTCCGCTGTTATTTGCGTGCCACGGCATCTGTGTCTGGGTCGCTTTTTGCGTTGATCCGGATCTGTTCTTCCCGGTTAGCGAGTGATTGTGTCCCGGGTTGTCAGCCGTGTTTTTGCGGCTAAGCTGCCTGTGTTCTTCCCCCCATGCCCGTGGGGTTCGTGGCTTCGCTGCTCTCGCTGCCGTCTGAGCGACGCGTCCTTCCGGTCGTTCGGGCATGGATCTTTGGTGTTCGTACGGGGGCCTTGCTGCGAGTTGTTCTCGGGACTTTTCGGGGTTGTGGCACCTTGGGTTGGCGTTTGCTGTCGGTTGTCTCACTTCCGTGGGGGGTGCGTGGTGTGCGCCTCCCGGTTCCATCCCTTTGACCTTCCTCTGTGGGTAGTTAGCTCCGGGGAGCCGACGGGGCTCCCCCCAGAAAACCAGCGCTGAATGTAATGAAACGCCATTTTCTGGGTGAGACCCAGAGGCTCCCCGGCAACCTTCCCTCCCTCCGGTCGGCGGGTTTTCGCGTATTTTGACATCCAGCCTCAGAACTGATGGATGGATAGCCGGCGTGGGAGGTCTGGGGCTCCCCCTTCCCCCTCCCGGGTAGGGAAAACTGCACAGTGATGTGTGACATCATACTAGTTTGATTGTTTTCTGTTGGGGAGTTCTATCCACTAGTTTAGCTTTAGGTAGCAATTTTAACCAGAATAGGGATTTGTTTTGGAATGCTTACCTTTCTGGATGCTTGACCCGGTCGATGGCAGACATAGAATGCTTCCAATCACACCGGGGGTTTATATAGGCCATTGCTCTCCTTGCGCCTCTGAGGGGGCCAGGTTCTGGCCGTGGTACCCGGTAGGCCCTAGAACTTCATACACATGACTGATGCCAAAGTCTGACATTAGCATATCAGCCTGGTAAAGCTCCGGGGAGCCTCCGGGTCTCACCCAGAAAATGGCGTTTCATTACATTCAACGCTGGGTTTTTTTCTTTCCAGGCTTTAAGTTATATTAATGTAATTCTTTATTCTTGTTGTTCTCAAGTTGTCTCGGAGTACCAGGTAGAACGTTCAGTATCGAGAACAGTTTGTCTATGGAGGATGGGGGAGGTTCTTGGAGTCTGCCCATGTCCCCCCCCCCCCCATATGGACAGACTCCATGTTAACTTCCCCCCCCCATATGGACAGACTCCATGTTAACTTCCCCCCCCCCCCCCTTTCCCCATGGACATACTCCATGTATACTCTCCCTGGAGAGACTCGAGTGTGTAAAGTGGGGTGCATGGAGCCTCTTCGTAGATTAATAGTCAAATTACAGATACTCATTTCACGTGGTTTTCCATACTTGGTTTCCTCTGGCAGTAACATTCTTGGTGTTGAGGTTCACGGGAGCCAGAAGGAATTTAATATAGAGGGACGCAAGAAATACAAAATGGTTAGATGACACTAACAGAGGGACGTTCAGTAGATGGATGCTTGTTTACCAGAATAGTCATGTTCATCCTTAACATTGCTGGTCCACCCGGATAAAGCGGAGTTCATATAGACCAATGCAAGTTTACCTACCTAGAGTCCTAGGTAGAAATCCCTACTCTCGCTGTTCCTTCAAAACCAACTCCCCTCCCCTACTCAAAACCTTACTCCTGCTTCCCTTATCTCTCCCCCCTTTACCCACTAGATTCCTCCTCCAGTCCCCCTTCAAAATTTCTCCTCCCATCCCCTTAAAAATACATCTTCCCATTTTCCTCATAA